TCTTTAAGGAACTCCAGCTATTTGAAAGCAGTAATAACCAAACGAGAATGCCCCCAAAGAACAATGGATTTTCTCTCTTCCTTTGGCATCATGATAAGGGATCTATTTTTCCCCACAGTCCTCTTTGCAGGTGCATGTCCTGTGGTGTTTATTTTAGGGGAGGGAGAAGAGGGCAGAGACTACTTTTCAAACATCTGAAGCAGGCGGGCACCCCTGGGTGACACTTAAACCTCCCTGGATATTCCATCGCTGACCTCAGAGTAGCTGTTCTTAGCCAACAAAGCTTTTAAAATGTATGGGAAACTGCAGAACAAGAAATCATCACGGACTAGATTGTGTTAAGTATGGTTTAATCTGAGACTACGAATTATTATCCCATTACTTCGAGCTTTTATAAGCCCCTTGCCCCTTAGTGTGTTAACCTACTTTGTTTTTCACTCTCCTGCCCACCTTGCCTCTCTGCAGTGCCTTCTCCTTTTTCCTCTCCCCTTTCCTATGCTTTGTATTCTAATCACTCCTTTCTATTTAGTAGCTCTGTTTTCTGCAGTCCCTTCACAGCATTTGCTGAAGTAAGCCCTCTGCTTACAAAAGTGTACGTTGTAACATCTCTGATTTAGTTAGTCTATAAACATTCAAATCCCCCCTGCACTTTGCCCGACTAAACCAGCAAGGCTAAAAACCTTTCAAAAATTGCCTCCAACCTTCCTGACTGCTCTGATTTTCCCTGGGGTCAGCACAGAATTTGCCCTGTACCTCCTGGGCATAGACTCCTAATGGACACAATTCAGAATCTGGTCCACTTTTTGTTTTGGGTTATTTTTTTTTAATAAAACAGAAAGAGTACCTACATTATAGTGGTTTTACTTATATTACTAATACTACCACAAATTATTAAAACTAAAAACCTAATTTATACACAGGTTCACCTTCCTCGCCTGTTGTGTTTCTTTGCTTTTGGAAATCCTCACCATGGCAATGCAAATAGACCCATTAGCTTGAATTTAATCTATATCTATCCTTTTGGGTCAATTTCATCCTTTGGCTCTCCTGACCCAACACAATGTCATAACATTTGGCTTGTAATTACTGTAGAGGATGATTTATTTGCTTTAAAAACTGTTTTGGTTGGATTCTTAAAATTCAATATAAACAGTTCAACTGATCTTACTTTTGGTTTTTGCAAAATATACATTTGGATGAAATGCAAGTTGGCACTACCCTTAGAAACACCAAACTTTATTACTCTTAGCTGTTTACACAGTTCTCAGGACTCTCTAGGATCAACAGCCAAATATTTCACACCCTCATAACACTTTACAGACATTAAACAATTAATGATAGAGTTTTTGCTAAAGGCAAACAAGGCAGGTAAGCCCTCCCTGGTAAGAAGATTGTCATGGACGTAGGATTTCTTTCATTGCCCTCTGACAGGGAGTAAGAACCTTGACTAGATAGACCAGTGGTAGCCAACCTTCTTGGCAGACATGGCACAAGGTAAACCCTGCACACTCCCTCAGTACCACTCCGAACCCCACCCCTTGCTCGACATGTTACTGTGCTTTCTGTGTTCTGCTTGATCCACTGCTCTGCCTTCTTCAATCTGCCCCACCATTGTGTTCCCTGCTCCCTCCCTGATCAGTCGCATGCCACACAAAGAGGCTGCTCATGCCACTTACAGTATATGTACACAGATTGACCACTTCTAAAATAGACCACTCACCTGACACAATCTGGAAATTCTTAACTTCAGATTATTCCTCATCTTTCCTCAATTTCTTACTATCTTTCTCATACTAAAAAAAGGTCTCAATGTAAAAGGACATGTGACTTTTATTGTTTAGTACTTTTGCAAACTGGAGTTACAAAATGCAACTGAACTGATCCTTAATGAATACCTAATAGCAAGCAAAAGCAACCTGCAGCCCTGCTGATCAAATTTAGTCAATAAGGGCTACTATACAGGTGCAGGGAGCCTGCTCCAACCTGCTGGAAATCCAATGCGTCAGAGCAGACTCAATTAAACGAGTCTGCTGGACCATGGATATGAATGTGCTCCAGCAGATTCTAGTATCACATGCATCAGTGTCCCCATACTGAAAAATGGCAGTGGGGCACTTGGACCTAATGCTTGTTGAACAAGCTTTAGTTTAAAGTGCCTCACTGCCATTTTTTCAGCACAAGGATGCTGATGCACATGATGATCAGGCACTTCTAATTATGGTGGCTCACTTATTAAAGTGTGCTCCCCCAAGAAACACTTGCCAGAGTATGTGTAAAAATGCCCTAAGAGACCTCTACAGAGAGGGCTTGCAACAAGCATTTGAGACACTGCCGCTAAGTATTCACGCCTGGCCTGGTAGCAACACAGATTTATTCCCATTTTAATTGACAGGCTTATGAACCTAAACAAAATATAGCACAGCATGCAGCTAGTTTAATTTCCATGGGTGAAGATGAACCAGCAGGGTTTCATTTTTGTAGTTCTCCAGCAGCAGTTATATGCATTTATGACATCATAGGATGCAGCCATGCAAATAACTGCGGTGATATAAATTCAGAAATATAACTTCATTGCAAGCAAGCACACAAAAAATGTAAAAAAATCAGTACTATATAATATCATGAAAGCCAAATCTTAATGCATTTAATATATGTTAATACCAAATCAAAAAAGGTATATGCCAACAGGGAATCATCATTTATTGTGGTGTTTCAAATGGGGTTGTTCAGGCATTGATATTAAGCTGGAAGCCATTCAATTCTTTTATCAAGGATCTGGAAGTAAACATAAAACTATGGTTGACAAAATCTGTAGATGACAGATTGGAAGAAACAGTAAATAGTAATAAGGGCAGGGAAGACTTAAAGAATGCCTGAACAGTTTGGTAAATTAATCCCCATTCAAACAAAGGGCACACTTTTGTATCAAATTGTATCTCAGAATGGGGGACTCTCTTGGAAAGCAGCAAACCGAGAAGAATTTTAGGGATTGGAATGGCCAATGTGAATTCCCATAGAGATGCTGTGGCAAAAGAATTATTGTGAACTTTGGGTGTATAAATGGGGGGAGTAAAGAGTAGGGAGATACTTTTACCGCTCTGTGCCAGTGATACTTAACCAGGGTGCTATGGCATCCTGGGCTACCACAAGTCCCTAATAAAACTGCCATGGGGTGCTGTGCAGTATTAGCACTGTTAGACATGAAAGCCTACACAATTCACAAGATGAACCGAGAGATTTTCCCTAAATAAGACTCTACCATGTCAAAAACATTCTGACTTGTTTTGATCTTTGAGTTCTCTGCCATAGAATAATTATTTTATTTTTCTGTAGTCTAAAAATAAGCGAAAGCAAAGAGACAGCATTTTCTGAGGAGTGTTTTGAGTCTAACAAGGGGTGCCTTGAGTCTAAAAAAAACCACTGCTCTATGATGAGACTACTCCTAAAATACAGAACAGTGGGTACAGTTCTACTGTTGTTTTTAAAAGGAGGTTGAAGAACTTGGAGAATATGAAAAATAGAGCAGTGAAAACTTATTCAAGGGCTGGAGAAAAAGCCTTGGAATACAGTGGCAATGCACAGAGGGTGCACATGTACCCCTTGACAGGCCATGCTCCGCAATTAGGTGATGGACCGGGGGTGGGGGGGGCCAGCGGGAGTACTGGTGCCCACCCTGTGAGTGCCGGCCAGGGAGTGGGAGTGCTGCGGCCACTTCCAGAAGCCAGTGAGTGAGACTGGCTGTGAGGGGACCCCCCCAGTCGGTGGGATCAGCTGTGTGGTATCCCCCAACCCCAGTCACTGACTGGTTGCTGGGGGTGAGGGGGGCACATCCTGGCCCCTCCCCCTCCTCGCCAAGTAAGGTGGCACCAGTTGCCCATGCTGGAACTCTTATGTATATGAACTCTTTGTATTTCTATTCATTTACCTTATAAAAATTATTATTTGAAACCAAGTACCACTGTGGGGAAAAAAACATGCTGGTTATTAAAGGACTCTAATCTAGCAGAAAAAGGTGCAACAAAAAACAACATTTGGGATTTAAAGTCACATTCAAATTAGAAATTAGGCACAAAGTTTTCCTAAACAGTGAGGGTTGTTAGTTCCAAACTACCAATGATGGCGTCTCAACTTCTTGATGTTTTCAGATCAAGACTGGATGACAACCCTTAGCCAAACACAAGTTCCTGGATACAGGTGTAACTGGGTGAAATATTTAACAGCCAGTGACATATTCAGAGTCAGATTAGATAATCCAGTGGCCCCTTCTGGCATTAAACTCTAAGAAACTGAGTACATTTTTATATTCAAGTCAATGGAGGGTATCTGAAACGTGTAAGAGCAACAGCCTTTGCAGACAAATGTTCTGTGCCTAAAGAAGACATGCAACACAGAAAGCTATAGTTCAAATGTTATCATCCCCTTTCTCTGCCTGTCTTTATCCTGCTCTGAAAGAATATTTTTTAAGAGTTCATATCTTATTCCTATTTAATCTTTGGCTTCTTTACTGAGCATCAGTTATAAGGGTGATCATATTGATGTTGAAACCTGCCCATTACAAACTTGACTGGAGACAGCCAAATCATTTCTCCTGGACTAGTGAGCAACTACAGAGTAACAATGAATTTTGATCACTACTAATCTTGGCTGTATTTGTACTGACCAAGAAGTTAAAGGCTCCACAGTTAGTCACTCAAGCCAACCAGACCTTGCATCTATTTATATTTTCTAATCTATTTTAAAATATTCCCTATTACTGCTGATTATTTATGCTGGCTTTGAACCAAAAAAGTTCAAGAAATAATTCAGTTAGCTCAAGTTATGCCATTAGAACATACAAACATAAATAAATAAAAACTGTGACAAAAAGAAATAAATTCTTCATGCCTTCTTTTAGCTGATGTTTGTGTTATGGTGCAGTTTACTCTCTTTTTCTGTTTGAAAGGGGAAAAAAACCCCAACCTTTGAATAGCCCATTTCCAGCATCTTCAGCCACCACTCACCTGTGCCTTTGCCAATTTCTTTTCCAGCAGGTCCCGTTCCCTTTCTGTTTGTTGCAGTCGTTTATTAAGCTCCACTATGTCTCCTTTTAGTGATGCCAGGGCTGCTAAATGGAGCTGTAAAACAATCAAAATATATCCAGGTTAAACTGTACCACGTATAAAATACCAGATCTAGACATAATTTAGATAAATAGAATAGGAATGGATCTTCTGTACACACAGACTACCGTGGGCATTCCCACTTCAGAACCAAGAGGTAATCAGAACTACGTTTAAAGATAATCAACTAGTAAAAATAATCTGCACATTAAGGAATGCCTGGAACTCTCCACTTTTTACATAAGCTCCTCATACGAACACACACCTAAACAAAATAAATACAATGCAGCATAATATAGCTGAAAGTCTAGGTATATTAGCTTTTCAACACTACCTCCATAGAAGCTAGATTAGAGACTTGTGATGAAGACCCCCCTGAAATTCTGGCTCAAAGTCCCACCTGAATGATTTCCAACACAGTCTGTCAGCTTGCTAGAAAGAACAATGGGGATACAGCAGAGTTCAATATGTTACTTTGCAAATAACAGAAATGCCGTTTCAGAGCTATTCTGAAGTTGTCATTTTCCCCAGGTCTCTTGTTGGGGAGTCTGAACAAGTAAAATTACAGACGTTCAACAGAAGGACTCAAACTGCATTTCACTCTTTTGATATTTTATATAAATTAAATAATTATACTAATGACAAATATGTCCTTATAACAGTGGTTCTCAACAGTTTGTGATTCAAGGCAACCCTCAGAAATTGCCAGCTTTTAGTTTTCACTTGTTTTTTTGACTACAGATAAATAAAGCAATTTTTCTGCTGCAAAGAACTCAAAGACCACAACAGGGTAGAATGGTTTTAACGCTATGGATTCCTATTTGAAGTCTCTGGGCATATCTTGAGAAACATGTCTGCATACTTAACAGTGCTACCATTGCTTGGTACTGCACGGTACCCCTAAAAGGATCTCAAGGCATCCCGGATGAAAATCACTGCTTTATAATCTGCAGCTGCCTTATAAACTGTAGCTTGGTGACTAAACATAGTTTATTTCAAGATATTGATTCCAAACACTTTTGGATACTCTTTTGAATCTGCAATTTTGGTCTGCTGTCTCAGGGCTGTTGCTCTCTGCATTTTACTCTTGTATAAAAAAATATGATAATCTCCAATTAGAATACTAGAAATTAAAATGCAGTGCACACAAATACCAGAGAATACGCTATTAGCAGCTAAACCAAAAGATTGAGAAAGCACCCAGAATGGAAGAGAAGAACCAAAAAAGATTGAGAAAGCACCCAGAATGGTAAGGATTGCGAGGTGGAATTGACAACTGATATCTATCTGATGGCATGTGGAAATGGATGATAGGCTCAGATAACTGGGACAAATGGACACCCTAAGAAGAGTCAAAAAAAGATTTTTATTTGGAAGATGTTAAAAATCCATCACTTTCTTCTGTATTCCCAATTACCCAGTTCACAGCTGGGAAAAATGCATTATGGGCCCATGATGGTGAATACAACTAAAATGCCAAAGAAAAAAACCAGCAAGTAATACTGAAGTTCATCTTTGTAGCACTGGAGGAACAATTCTAAGTTATATTGGGTAAGAAAACAAAACTGACCTTTCACAATAGATGAAACAGTAAGGCAAATACTGCTGAGTTGCCAAGACAAACCTTTCTCTTTACTCTTAAGGCCAGACTCCTCCTCTTTCTCACTGGGCTGACATTTTGTTAGGAGGGTTTCCTTTATATTACTTTTATTGTTCTACCTCCACTGAAACTGTTAATGAGTCTGGTTCTAATATAATTTGAATTATAACCCCCCCCCCAAAAAAAAACAAACAAACCAAAAAAAAACCCCAAACCCCCCAAAACAAACCCAACAACAACAAAACCCAAAAACCACCAAATTCAATGCTGGGAACCAGTAAGCCCACAGATGCTCAGATGTCTGGAGGGATGAAAAGTTTTTTTTTCCTGCAAAGGAAGACTGAGATGGATCCAGCAACTGCATCCTTTGCATACAGCATTGTGAGTACTTCAAGATGTCAGTTTGGGTTTCAAGACTAGTATTTTTGCTATAATTTTTCAGCTGTAAACTCTGCAGTTTTCATTTCAGTTTGGGTCAGAGGCTGAGGAGACTCATTTGACAGCTGGATGTCTTCAGCTGCTTTTTGTTCAAACATAATTCTATTATGACAGCTACACGCTTTAAAAAAATAAAACTGTAAACATCTCTTTTTTTTTTAAATGCTGCAAAAGGATTTGGTACTTATGAAAGGAGCAGTTTACAGCTATTGAGGAAAGGCACTCTTCCAAATATGTGGGCCAGTACACCTCAGTTATCACTTCAAAATTGCCTATGCCAGCGAAATGTTTGGGATCTTCTTGATAATTTCTTCCAGCCGTGGTGAAATATATAATATTTTCAGGATGCGGTCAAACCAAGTTGATTTTCACTGACCAAATCTGACCCAGTTTTGGAATCCTGGTCCCAGTCACACTGTACCATGTGGTTCCCTTAGTAGAGGTTTTTCTTGATTGAACTTCAGTATCTCAACACCAACTGCAAAACTCTATGCTAACCTGCAGATTGAGAAGCATTTGTGATTTTTTTTTGCCCTTCAGTTCTCTGGGTCTGATTCTGCTCTCACATTCATTTGACAAAATTCTTTACATTATTCTCCTGAATCTCCTTTTCAATTATTCCAGTCATTGCTGGCCTGAGCATACAGCAATTTAGCTGACCCATTCCTTGATTTTACTGATCCTGGTATCCAGCAGCTAAAAATTGCCAGGACTGAGATATATCAATGAACATGAAACCACCCACCCACCTTTCTAAATAATCAGTTTCTAGCACTATTGTCCTCATCCCTCTGTGTCTGGATCTCTCCCCTTCATTCTGGATACAGATTTCTCTTAGGCGACTTGATCCTGGCACTATCCCATTTCTTTTCAGTATCTTCACTTTAGTATCAGGGAGGCTTCTGCAGAACCAAGAATCTGTGTTAAGTTACTAGTAGATCATCTCCCATCTCACTTAAGCTACCATAATTTCTTTCTTTCCCATTGTTGGGATAACTCCACTCCTAGTTGCTAGAACATCAAAAAAAATTACCAGACATCTGTTAACCAGAGGCCAATGATAAAGGTGAGGTCTAATTCTGGAAGCCCAGAGGCAACAACTCCAGTGTTCCAACTAAATGGCAGATGGTGGCCATGGAAAAGATGCTGTTTTGCCCAGGTTAAAAAATTCATAGACTTTTTTTACTTTAGTTCACCCATACTTTGGAGAAGAGAACTGAAATTTGACATGTGGTGGCCCTTGTCTCAGGGATATGCCCTTTATCATCATTGTGGAAATTCACCCAAATCTGGCTAAGTTATTAAAGACTTAAAAAAAAATATTGCAGTTTCACATGACGAGTAGAGACCACTTGGATTTAAGTGGATAAATTCCTACTACCCTGAGTATGTTCCCTTGCAACTGTAACTATGGGCTTTGCCACGTCTGAGCATCTGAATTAAGAAAAGGGAGCCTGTGTCCTGTGGTAGCAATTCCATGTGGATGAAGCATGGGGTATAAAGATGACTGACTCAAATGCAGAAAGGCCAAAAGCCAGACTTGGATATAGGGTACCATGCAGAGTGTAAAATGGAACAAGGTAAGCAAAAATAATGGAACTGGGACAGAGGCAGGACTCAGAGGCAGACAGGTTGTGCCAAGTAACGAACATTTATTTCCAGGTTGTGAAAGCAGACCTGAAGATTCCCAGGTCTCACCCTTCTTTTGCTGTCAGCAAATGTCTGATAACTAAGGCAGTGTCCCAACCCCTCTATGGGATTGGTCCAGATAAAAAAAGAGAAAGTACTAGTGTGATGATGAACCACTTTGTCAATTCGAGTTATAGAAATCTGTTTGTGCATCTGAAGGTTTTGTTACATTTGATTAAAGAGCACATCATAATGCCTATGTGCCAAGGAGCAAAGTATGATTGTGTAAAAACCTTAATTCTGGCACTTCCTATGCTTGACTTCACAGTCTCAATAATATATTTACTGTAGGGCATGGGGATGTGTATGTACGTACATACATATTACACACACATATATTTTAAACTAAAGCTTAAATGCTAGAGAATTTGTGCCTCTTTGGTACCATGGGACCTTTTTTTGGGAACTGCCTTTTGTTAACTTGCCAGAGGGGTTTAGGGGAGTTGATTTTTCAAGCACTATATTTATTTTCTACTTTGTTCACTCTTGTTATGGCACTAGTCACCCCCTACATTTATTTGTGCACTTTTCTGAGAGACCTAATTGGCTCTTGACATTAATTCTCAAGTATTTCACAAGTTAACATTACACGCTTAACAAAAATAAAGTGGGAAATGTTTTTGAGAAAAAGTCTTTCCAGTGTTTTGACCAGCTGTCACAGATCACAATTCGGCTCATTAGATTCATGGAACTCCTATCATCGTTAAGCACGGCCCTCATTCTATAGTTCAAATAACAGCTACAATTCTTTAAGCTACATAAACTGCTATTACATAAATAAATAAGGAAACATCTTTTTTACACATTGTAATTCAATAATCAACAACTGCTTTTCTAATGAAATACAGGCAACCCCCGCTTAATGTTGTTTTGCTTAGCGCTATTTCGCTATAATGCTCATTTTACACTGATACCTGATTCCACTTAGCAGTCAGTGAGTTTCGTTATAACGCTCATGGGCATTGTACAGATGGCGGCAAGGAGAGTACATTAGTACCACAGCGCATCAATAGCGTGCAGCCTCATTGCGCAATTTAGTGCCAATTTGTTTGTGTTTCCATGTTGGTTCATCAAAAAAAACCTGGTTATTTCACTTAATGCTCAGTTTTTCGGGAATCAATTAAGAGCACTAAGCGGGGGTTGCCTGTACTAGCCCAACAGCTCTCATACACAAGTATAAAAAGGATAAGAGGACGCTTAATTTAAAAATCAGATTAAAAAAACCCCAGATTTCCTCATCTGTGCTATTAGTAAGACTTGAAACCATCAATGCTGAAAGATGGTATGT